TTTTTTCTGTATGGTATCATACTTTATCATCATGGCAGTAGGGGAAAACACCAATTTAATTCTCATCAAAAAAAATTAAAATCTAAAAATCTAGATTATTTTAAATAGATGTATTTCCTATATATAAATATATGTTTGAAAAATAGATTTAAAAATACACAAACTAATGGAAAACAATATATTACAAAAATAGATGTTAAAATATATTTACATTTATTTAAAATAAGTTTTAGCTACTTATTTTGACATTTTTGGCAAATATTTATATAATTTATTATTATTCAATGTAAACATATTGTTCAAAATAGATCTTGCATTTATCCAAACAACTGGAAATGTATTTTCTTGCTCCTTGAAGTACATTTTTGCATCAAAGCTTAAAAAGAAATATATTTTCAATTTGGGCAATATTTGTTATTAAGCAATATTTATTTACAACATATATTTGAAATATATTTTGGACAGTGTAAGTAAATAAAAAGTAAAAATAAATATTTGTATTGCATTATGGTGTGGATGGTTTTCAGGGTGTTGCTATGGTTTTGATCACATTACTATGCATTTGCTTTTAAATTTTGGATGGTTGCTATAGATAATTGCTTATTGGCCTTAGCAAAGAGGTAAAAAGTTAAGAGGTAAGATTTTTTGCAATGGCCAGACATGGTTCATAGCCAGGGGTGATTCTATGATTTTCATTTTAGGGGGGCTCAGCCCTCAATGAGGGTAATAATAAAAAATAATAATAAATATATAAATAAAAAAAATGTTTGACTAATAGAGATGGTTTACAGCTAGCCGTGCATTAAAGGATTTTAATGCATGATGTGGAGGCAAAGAACCGCCCGACGCGAAGCGTTACATTTTCTGATGAGATGTTTTCCCCACTGCCATGATGAATAGATCACATACGGAATATATTTTTATGTATGTGTGTATATATATATTTGTTACCATACAGAAAAAAAAAATATATATATATATATATACAGTGGGTACGGAAAGTATTCAGACCCTCTTAAAGCTATAGATAATTGCTTATTGGCCTTAGCAAAGAGGTAAAAAGTTAAGAGGTAAGATTTTTTGCAATGGCCAGACATGGTTCATAGCCAGGGGTGATTCTATGATTTTCATTTTAGGGGGGCTCAGCCCTCAATGAGGGTAATAATAAAAAATAATAATAAATATATAAATAAAAAAAATGTTTGACTAATAGAGATGGTTTACTAAACTTATTGCAGTATTCCACTGTATTGCTTAGGTATAACATTTGAGTAATGAATAAGCCTTCCTGATCTCACACACACTTTACTGTAGTTACAAACACAACATTTTACTGTTTGCTTTTCTAGTACAACCCTCTTTCTTTAGCTCAAGTATGCAAACCTCTTTACACATGCACTGTAATATGTATTATATTGAAAGTTACATTTTCAAATGAAAATGGCAACATGATCGTTTCATAAAGTATGCGGTTTCATTTTTGCTGGAGGAAACAACTGTAGTGTGATGAGGAAACGCATCTTTCGTAAACTGTATTTATGACAAAGAACTGCACAGTTGCAGATATTATAACAGTCTATCGATAAACACACACCTTGCCCTCAGTTTCTCGCTCTGCCGCTGTATTCATATGAAATTTAAAGGGGACTGAGGCGATCACGAATTCATGTACAGTTTATGGAGCTGATCGCAAAATGTTTAGGGGGTCAGAGTAGTCATTTTAGGGGGGCTATAGCCCCCCCTAAAAATGACCTAGCAACGCCCATGTTCATAGCTTCATTTGCAGAAGTTATCACTCCAGTTTCTGTGATCTGTCTGCAAGTTCGATATTTATGAAATAGCATGCTATTGAATTCTGCTGTCTATCAGCAGTCCTGCAGTTCTTGCACACTCTAATGCACTTCTTAAGGCTCTAGGTAGATAATCACTCTGGGAAATTGCTTCTTCTAACAGTGCAAATAGGTGAAAAAAATCTTCCTGTCTGCAGAGAAGAAAATGAAATAAACCCTTATAACAACAGGAAAGATGGTGAGTACAGGGGTCATAAAAATACATATTAGGAGCTGTACATCTTCAGATGAGACAGTCTCTTTAAAAGAAAAAAATTAATACAATTAAGAGAGATTGATTTTTAAGGCCAACGTTTGGAGAATGTTTCTGGAAACATTGCCCTTCCTGCATCTGAGATGTAATGAAGAAATGAACTATTGCGGCTCAATATCTGATTCTCATAGGAGGGTCTGTCCAGACCAGTTAGGTTTATTTCTCGCCTTTTATCTTTGTTCTTTTATCTCACAAACAACCTGAAGAGCATCTTCTACAAGTTGATGCTGTGTTGGCATATATGTGTTCATTGTTCATTCCAATCTCGCAAATAAAAATATGTATATGTGAGTTGATCTTTCCTCACTAGGTTAAAATTTAAGTTAATTTTCTTTCTTAATAAATAAATAATGAATCTACTGAAAAAATGTTTTGTTTGTTTTAAGCATTAAACTGACAACATTTAGCGAGATTAATGTTTAAAAAATAAGAAATTGTCATTGATATCTATCTATCTATCTAGCTATCTATCTAGCTAGCTAGCAGTGAAGCATTTAGTATTTTCCAAACTGAAGTGAGTGAAGTTTAGAGCTGATATTTTACTTCAGCATCCATTATCAAATAATTATTTTCAAGCTGTCTGTTAATTTAAAAAGTGCCTTAATATTGCCCAATCACGGTCTTTGAGAAAAGAATAGAGCACTCCGAATGCTATTAAACATCTTATTTGCATATTATTCCATTTGAATTAATGAAAAGTGATTGTTAGGTGTAAGATAAGAGGAAACCGAGATATTCCTGTACTTAAAACAAACCATGATCATTATATCAATGTTCAAATTTTGTTTCTTGGCAATAAACTTAACTGCATATTTCCTTGTGTTGGATTATAATAAGATGTTAATTAAATATGCTTGTTTGTTGGGAAAGAATAAGTGTTATTCAAAAGGAAGTTGTGAAAAGATAATTAACATTATTCGGTATGATATAAATAAAGAAAATAAGAAAGGGATATTTTTTTCCTGATCTTCATCTTCGCATTATAGGTGAGACAGTCCCTAGTGATCAGTGTTCAGGAGATCCTCCTCCAGTCCAGCAGTCATGTGAGATGCCCTGTCCTGGGGACTGTGTGTTGGGACACTGGGGTCCCTGGACTTCCTGTTCCCAATCCTGCTCCAGTAAACACCAAGAGGGGAAACAAAGTCGCTCACGCCTTGTTCTGGCTCTTCCTGGAGAGTGTGAGTGTAAGCATTTTGCAGCAAATACCAGGCCAAGTGATTAGCGTACAAGTTGAGCTCTGAATTTCATGCACATCACATTTTCGTTATGATAAAGATGATATGATTATGTTTTGTGAAGTTATACCGCGAACATTCAAGAGTATAAATAATAAATACACAAAGCACAAACTATGAAAACGTGTCGGAAATGTAACGTTTCCAGTTGTTGCAGAAAAACTGGCTACAGCGGCCCTCGCATACTGGGCATCTTTCAGAATCTTTCAGTTTAATTATTCACAATGCTCTGATTTGCCCTGAGTCCAAATCTCTAATCCCCATTTTAAAACAATGTTCTATTAGTCTTTGTCCTGTCATCCCCTTCTTTTATGCTGGTCCTCATAAAGCAGCTCTTTCACATGAATTATAGATTCTCCCTTTATGACACACTCATCAGGGACATATCCTTTGTTTGACCCCTCAAACATATGGCCCTTTGTCCATAAATGTATATGCATTTGTGTGTGTGTGTGTGTGTGTGCGTTTTTGTGATTTATGAGGACACAAATTTGAATAATGACGTGGGTATGACATAGGTATTACAATGAGAAGGTGATTTATGAGGACATTTTGAGTGTCCCCATATTTCAAAAGGCTTATAAATCATTCAGAATTAGTTTTTTTGAAAATCTAAAAATGCAGAAAGTTTCCTGTATACTAAGGGGTAGGTTTAAGTGTAGGGTTGGTGTAGGGCGATAGAAAATAAGGTTCGTACAGTATAAAAACCATTACGCCTATGGAATGTCCCCACAATTCACAAAAACAAACCTGTGTGTGTGTGTGTGTGAGAGAGAGAGAGAGAGAGAGAGGGAGAGAGAGTACCTGGTATTCCCTACATTATGGGGACCAGAAGGATACCAGTAAATTTTGACCTTGTGGGGACATTTTTTTTGGTCCTTTTTTTTTTATGTAGATGGAAAGCCATGTCCTCCGGCCCCTGAGCTGGTGCAGTGGAGACCCTGTGGCACACAACCATGCACAGTGTACTACTGGGATACTTCACCTTGGGATCCCTGTATGCCGAACACCATCACAGACGAGAGTGAAGGTAACAGCGCACCTCCACAGATGGAGAACGATGCCACCTGCGGTACAGGGGTACAGATGCACCAAGTCACATGCAGGAGAGCTGGGAATGGACATGTGCTGCCAAAACGGTAAAGAAACACAATCTTTCATCCTAAATTCTGTATAGAACACCCATACAGAAAATCTCATGCTAATATCAACTTTAGGTGTCCTGAATCCTCTTGTCCTGACTCCATCCGGTCTTGTCCTTTACCTTGCAAAATTGACTGCATCGTCACACCTTTTAGCGAATGGAGCACCTGTCCCACTTCCTGTTTATCGGGTAAGCATGTAGACCCCTAACCCTAACAGCATGTCCTTACCAGGAACAGCTTGACAAGCTCAAAATTTTAACTTCATGTTTTTTCTCCCAATACTGTGAACTTCTTTGCTTTTCTAGTGAATGCTACTGCACCAACCCAGTCTCGTCACAGGATCATCATCCAGAGACCTGCCAATGGAGGTCAAGAGTGCCCAGATACTCTTTATGAGGAGAGAGAATGTGATCCACCCCCTCTGTGCCCAACTTACAGGTAAAGAGAGAAATGGTTAAATGAGCGATAAATGGCGTCTGTTATGCTCACCGAGGCTGAATTTATTTGATCAATATACAGTAAAAACTGTAATATTGTAAAATATATTTACAATTAATTTTTACAGTTTTAAAATGTAATTTATTCCTGTAATGGCAAAGCTGAATTTTCACCAGTCATTATTCCAGTCTTCAGTGTGACAAATCAAACTGATTAATGCAAAGCTACATCTAGATCATGATGTAAAAATCTCTCACTTCTCAAGTAAATCATAATAAACTTGATATCAACATAATATAATCATCAGTAGCTTATTAGTGATTCTTTGTTATGAAAAATGCAAAAACCAACTGAACTTTAAATATGATTTTTCTTATTTTTATATCTTTAGTTAGGAGAAACTAGAATTCAGCTTTCTGGAAAATTAGGAAAAACAATATAAAAATTAATAAACGTAAAGCTTTTATAAAGTACCCTTTAAAATGTTTAGAGCATTTTTTAAATCATCCTATAAGACAGAAAGTTACCCAAATGTAATCAATCCGTGTACAACATGTGGTGTTACTCCATTAAAATGTGCTAATGCGTATCCCTACTAGATGTGCCAACAAAATACAAAATGTTCAGAAAATATAATTGGATATAAGCCAGACACTGCAACATGTTTTCTGTGCACTGGTGTTTCATGGCAGATGGCAGACCCATCGCTGGCATCAGTGCATTCTGGTACCTGATTCGGTGAGGAAGGCTGTGGGTGGGCCCGCAGAGGCATGCGGTATTGGCCTAGAGACAAGAGGTAAGTGACAGATTAGGATCTCTGTATGATTTAAAGTTTTATTAGGAAAGTTCTGCAAAACCGGGGTTACTGTAGGACGATTACTCATCTTAGAAATTCAGAGGGACTTCTTGGCTGCCTGCAGGTTTTTTTTTTTTTTCTTGCAATTTTCCCCATACTCTCTAGTTTTATAGAAAGTTGTCAAGATGTCAGAGAGGACACACAGCATGGTATGACATCTGACATCTCCGTCCCCGGGCTCTTTTTAAAATATCCTGCTGGTACTTCATGTAAATTTAAAGGTGCTGGCCTATCAAGACACAGTAGGGATCCTTTCAGAATGCTGTATGCAGCGGACGGGACCAAATTCTGCCTGTCAGTTTTGGAAAATGAGAAGAGTGTTTCTCAGCAAATAAATGATTCCTGCACAGTGGGCTTCAATTAGGAAACACTAGCAGTATGATTATCTATGTAAATTATTTTTTAAACCATTCTTACTTCAATTGTTCAGTTGAACCCAGTGTTACCCAGTGTTCAGTGGAACAATTTACATAAGAAAGGTTTTACGAACATTTTAACACTAATTTGTTCTGCTCAATGAAAATAAATGAGACTCAGTGTTATAGCAGGCCTCAGAATGTGTTTGTACACCTATAAAGGTCACATATTTTACACCTTTCTGGAGTTTTATTTTAAGTCTTGATGTCCTTAAGAATATATTTTTACAGTTCCTCTCTCAGGAGCTCTGCAAAGAACAGGTCGAGTTTGGCCTGTCTAATTAATATTCATGAGCCTCTCTTCTGATTGGCCTGTTGTTTTCTGAGTGATGCATGGCCAGACCAACCACAGGTAACTAGAGTCATGTATGCTGTAGCCTGCTGTGGATTGGTGATACTCACAAGTAATGTCAATAGAAACACCGGTAATGATGGTCACTGCTGAGGGAAATGTTGTCCGGCCTTACATGTTTGAGCCGAACACAGACCCCAAATCAGCGATGACAGGAGACAACCAACCACCTCCTCAAACGTGCTTAAAACAGGATATTTCAGAATGGTTACTATTATTACACTTGTATACAAAGTGTATTATGCCTGTTATAGAGTGTGTGACGTCACGTGCACTACCGTGGCAATAGACATCGGTTGACGCGGTTGTCACGGCGACCATCACAGCCCTACTGTGCAATGATGTCGTTTCCTCATCCAGACTGAACAGCGTTTTGTCTGGGGTTTGGCAAAAGGAGAGTGGTACTGTGGGTGGTGCTTGGGGTGGTGACTGAAGGCGGTGACTGAGTAGTTCTGACGTCACCTTTTTACGGAAGTCACAACGGTTCGTGAAAAATCACAGCTACTTTATGCAGGCTGTGTGCATTTTACTGTGGATTGACTGTTTTGAAACTTATATGGTAGGTTGTTACATAGCACCTAGACCTCAGTTATCATGAAAAAAGCCAGGAAATTTCAGTTTTTACAATATGGGACCTTTAAGAGATATTTCACCCAAAAAAGATAAATCCGTCATCATCTACTCACCCTCATTTCATTCCAAACATTGTTCTTTTTTCTGCAAAACACAAAAATTAGATTTTAAACTGTTTTTATCAATACCACAATGAACCACATTGACTTTCATTGAACTGCATTTACTTTTATTATATGGATAAAAAACACCCAAGGCATTTTTCAAAGAACAAAAAAGTCATACAGGTGATTTTTGACAAAATGTAATTTTTTTCATAAGATAATTTCAACATTTCACAGTTGACAAAGTTTGAAAGTGCCCAAAAACTGTATCATACTTTGAACTGTATAACCAGTGGCGCCTGTCCCAGCGCTTGGCGCTCTTTTTTTGTTGTTGTCCTTTTTCTCTATAAAATCTTTTAGTAAACATCATAAATCATATATCATTTGAAAGCCCAAGATTCACCCTGTGAAAACCACATGGAAATGGTACTTTAAAATCTTTTGGCGGTCTGCTCCCCCTTACTGGGCGGTGTCAAGTGTCATATTACAAAATGCATTACGGTCTTTTAGAATCAAACCTTTTTATAATCTTGAAAAAAAACATATAATTGGAAAGGTCTGAATCTCAGGATTCCATATTCGGTGAGTTATTGAGATAGAAGTAATTTTGACAGAGAAATCTAGACATTTGTGACAGAAAAATGCATTAAAAAAATTCAATGGAATTTGGATGGCGCCCGGTGGCTGTTTGTGGTATGACGCCCTAAATAAAATCTCACAGAAACCTCAATGTTTTTCATATAAACTTCAAATTTGGAACATAACTTATTTAGACATAAGGCTTTAATTTCATACCAATTTTAGAGTAAAACCTGTTATGTAAAATATTTATTATATATCAAATAAAATAAAATTAATATAGTGCATTTTCTTTACAGTACATTTAAACTACCATAACTTTTTTATACTTCAATTTTTTTTTTTAAATCAACTTTTGCAATAATCTGCTTTAATAATTCTTCTTTATAAAGAGACCAACGTTATGTCTGTATTCCAAAGTGTTCATAAATTACAACAATTTCAGTTTGGATAGTGCACCTGCATGCCTATTTAAAAAAATGGGGGGTGACAGTTAAGGAGTTAAGATAACCAGAGGCCCCTGGGCTACAGCGTTACAGTAAGCACCCCCTTCCCTAGATAACAGAAAGTTGTCCGGTCCAGCTCCTTTCACACAGCAGTGTTATGTTTCTTGTTGATCTGCATGTTAACATACAAACACTCTCGTGCTGGGCTTTACTAGCGCATTGTGTATTCCGCTAGTATATCGGTGGAATACAGGAACATACCAATTATACAAACTGTGTGGGGAAAACTTAAACTGAACCACTCACTATAAACTACAACCAGGGCATCGCTGAAAATGAGTGTGTGTTTGTTTACAAAATGCTGTTGTCACTGCAGCAAATTCCCATATATTCAAATAATTATTCAAAATAATATAATTTCCTTGAAGCCAGTGGGCCCCCTTCCTTGTGTAGGCCCCTGGGCTTCAGCCCGTTGAAGCCCGTGCATTAATGCGCCCCTGGGTATAACTGATATATTTTCCAGTGTTGCCAACTTAGCAATTTTGTTGCTAGATTTAGCAACTTTTCAGACTACCCTAACAACTTTTTTTTCAAAAAAGCACCTTTCAACAAATTTTGCTATTTTTAAAAAGTTTTTGGCAACGTTTAGAAACTTTTGTAAAGTGACGCAAATGATAAAAAAGACATATTTTCATCTAAATTACACAAAAAGAGGAAACCATTGAACAGCTAGCCAGCCAAGCAGCACATCAACCTCGAGAGAGTTAGAGAAAGATGCCTAACAATGCAAACAAATGTGCATTAAGTTGCTAGTTCCAATTGGTCAATAATAAATGCACATTTATGATACAGCATGTTATTAGCTTGCAATTGTTGTTCAGTTAGGTACACTGTAAGAAAAAATATGTGGAAAAACTGAAAAGGTATAGTCATTTTCTGCCAGGATGTTATCCATTAAGTTGTAACCTGTAACCTTAAAACAAAAAATGCAATGTGGAATTTAAAACACAGGTAAAACACCTGTAAAAAATAAATGCGTATTGTCCCTTCATATAAACAGTACATTGTGTCCTATTTTTATAGACTTTTGTGTAGCACACTAATTAACTAGTACACTGCTTAAAACTATAATTGTTCAGAATGTGCAGTTTTACTAGTTAATAAGAAAATACATCAAATGTGGAACTGTTCAATAATTCAATGTTGTACAAAATCAGATCATAAAGATGTGCTACTTGTGTTACTTTTACAAATTAAAATATTTTATTTTTATAATATTTTTTATGAACAAATAACATTTAAAAAATATTTTTCGCTGAGATTTGAGTAATATCGTTGTGTATTCCACATAAAAAAATGCTGTTTTGTGTAATGGTTATGCAATGACGTCATCACGCAATGACATCACAACGTCATTTAGCAACTTTTAGCAACAAATCATTCTGCCTTTAGCAACTTCCACTGAAAATTAGTTGGCAACACTGATCTTTTCTTTCTCTGTCATGTTTTCAGAGGTGACGTGTGTTGGTGCGGATGATTCTCCAGCAGATGTGACAAACTGTTTGAGGTGGGCTGGACTGATGCCCGTCCCGGTGAGGGAATGTCTTTTGCCATGCAGAGATGAATGTAGCTTCACCTCCTGGAGCAGATTCCCCCAGTGTCAAGGCTGTGGAAGTTGGCGCACTCGTACCCGATCTCTGATAGGTAACATGTTCAACCATAAACTATTCTGATTATCAAAATGTTTTCTGGAAACACATACACCATCCAAGTTCCCCTTCCATCCAAACTCTCAGGCCGCAGTAAGAAGCGCTGGCGATGCCAACAGGAAGAGGCGTTTCCTCTCCTGGAGAAAGAAGCCTGTCCTTGTTCTGAATTTCACACCCAGGCTCAGGGTCCCTGGTCTCCTTGCTTGCTCTCACCAGCAAAGAACATTGCTGGCCATCCTTTCATCCAAGGAGTTTCCCACCAAGGCCAAAAGGCAGTCCAGGACTGGCGAGCTCAGAGGAAGTACAGCGAGTGTGGGCATGGGAAACGCTACAGAGCTCTTGCCTGTCTGGATCACCTGGGACGATTGGTGGAGCCAGCTCTCTGTAGAAGCCCTGGTGATGCACTCTTCCAAAAAATATCAAATAAAATGATCATTTATAATGAAATTATTATTTATGTTTTTTCAGACCATTTAATTTTTTGCACATTTTGTTGTAGCCTTTACGCTAAAATTATTTAAATTACTTTTATTTTCAATTATTATATATTTTTCATCAATCTAAACTCCATGCCCTGCAATGACAAAGCAAAAAAACAGATTTGTGATAACTTTGCAAATTCTTTAAAAAGAAAAAGCTGAACTGACATAAATATTCAGATACTATGACATTTGAATTTATTCTTTATTTACAAGAATGAATTGCATAGATGTTGCATATATAAATATATATAATAAAAATAAATATTACAAATACAATATTATGTTTTCTTTTGTTTTGTACTATTGTAATTTACATTGTATCTTCCATGTATCTCTAAAGAAGTGCCGTGTATGCTGTCACAGGTTATGATGAGGACTCGTGTCATGTACCCTGTTCTACGGACTGTAAGCTAAGTGAGTGGTCGAATTGGTCCGCCTGCAGCGCCTCGTGTGGTGGGGGGGTAAAAGTTCGCTCTCAGTGGCTACGAGAGAAGCCTTTCAATGGAGGTCGGCCCTGCCCAAAACTCGATTACAAAAATCAGGTGAGAATGATGTTCCCGTCAACTTCTACTTTATTGATCTTGTTAGAAATAAAGAAACTAATTAGTCCAAATAAGACACGGGTTGTTCTGAGAACTTAAAATATCCAGAGACCTTTAGCTATTATTGATAATCGAGCTGTTCAGTACATTTAAATTAGCCTCAAGGAAAAATCACCTGCTGTGAAATTATACATGCCCACACTAATATATGCTTATACATGCCTAAATTGTATGTGTTCATAAATTCATAAATACTGTATCTTCATCTGTGTGTGGGAGTCACAGAGGACAAGGCAGTGTGTGTGTAAACCTACTGTATAATTTATTATTCATTTGGCCTGGCTTTGGGGGTCTTCCCCAGGCTTCCCACTTTCAGCTGTTTCCACAATGTTTCTCCACCACTTGCTGTTCTATTAAGACAAGACTGGAGAGGATCAAGACCTCCAGGGACTGAACCTCTTATCCCCCCTGCTTTTTTCTTTTTCCGTTTATTTCACTCTTTTTATTTTATATTTCATCAGGGCAGGTCAAGCAACATTAAAGTTTGATGGATCCGAACTGGAGTCGGCAAGCATTTCCTTCAGCTCAGTTTCCCTCATATAAATGAACCACTAAATAACGAATCTATGGTGGGGTCAAACATGTTCCAATAGAAACTAATGGAAAATTTGTCCCCTAGTCCTGAAAGGACGCTTTACAGCTCAAATAACACATTTGAGTGCTTTACCAAAAATATAAGCTACAAATCTCTGCCAATGAATGGGAAGTCCCCATTAGGATATATATGCGAGATTATGTATTGGTATATTTGCATGTCTGATTCATGCCTGCATTCCTCTAGGATTGTAATGACGGTGATTTGAGGTGGAGGAGTAGAAGTGTCTTGAGGTGGCCAGAAGGAGATCATACCTGCCCAGATCTAAACCAGACTCAAGCCTGTATCAATATGACCTGTCTCAAATACTCCTACGTTTATTCAGGTGCTGTTACAAGCGTTCACACTGTCACAATTTACAGATTGTAAAATGTGTTCAGTCCACATTATGGAGTGCAGGGAGTGAAGTGTGTATGTGTATGTTGTGAAGATTGGAGTAGCTGTCAGCTCAGTGAAAATGCAGTATGCAGCCATGGGATTAAGACCAGACTCCTGAACTGTGTCCGCAGCGACGGGAAGCTGGTGGAACCGAGCATGTGCAAAGAGGTAACTGTTCTTTTCTCACTGGAATTCTCTCAACCAAAGTTTTAAAAGGAATCCAGTTATTTTATTGTTTTCTTCTCTTTTTTTTCAGCTGGGTCCTTCACGTGGAAAGCTCTCTGCCCCCTGTGAGGTGGGCTGCCCTGTTAATTGCCTGATTACAGAGTGGTCCACCTGGTCAGAATGTTCACACACCTGTGGAAGCCAAAGTATGATCTCCAATTGATATAATAATAATAATTATTATTATAAATAATAATAATTAACATTTTATAATTATATAACAATTTGAAAATTTTGTTGAAATTATATTAAAAAAATTTTTTTGAAGATAGCATAAGTGGTGCTTTTCTTTCTCAAAACTGGACAATAATATAATAATATTTATATATATATATATATTATAAGATTTTTTTAATTGTTTTATTATAAAAACTTAAGTGGTCCTTTCCTTCTCAACACTGGCAAGCAAACAAACAAATAAATAAATTTGTTATTTAAAATTAATAAATTAATAAATATTTATAATCTTTTTATTTGTTTGTTTGTTTTTTGATGAAAGCATAAGTGTTTTTTTTTCCTTTTCAATACTGGCAAATAAAATTAATAATAATAATAACAACAACAAATTTAGTTATTTAATATTAATAAATGTTTAATATTTTTTATTATAATATAACTTTTTTGATGAAAATATAAGTGGTGCTTTTTATTTCAACACTGGCCAGTAAAAATGAATCTAGTATCTTTGGAAAGATAGCACACGGCTGTTTACACCCTTAAGAGTTCAGTCATGCTTCCATGAACTTGGCTGTTGTTAGAGGCTTAATTAAAAGCTTTTATCAGTCTCATTTATCTCAATTCAAGGCTCTGCAGGTCACATGAGTAAACACCTCCCAGGGCGCTTATTAAACTTTCAGCATGCAAACAGAGCTCTCCCTGGACTTTAGCTTCTGATCCCATATGTTTGTGTCTCGTTGTATGTGAATTTTCCAGGTCAGATGACACGATCCAGGGTCGTTTTGCAGCCTGCCGGAGAGGGAGGTCGTCCCTGTCCATCTCAGCTTTCCCAAACTCACCCCTGTCCCATCAGGCCATGCTACAGTTGGAGACTGGGGGACTGGAGACCGTGCAGAATGGAGGTAGTACTGATGCAGTGCACCTGATTGAGTTAAACTCAAGCAAACAACTGCCGCTGCTGCTGAGACACTGTCCTTTACATGCACAAATGATCAGACTGAAGAAATTCACATAGCTGAAGGCTACTGCTTTCCATTAAACTGTCAAAGCAAACGCATCATATCAGGGTTTCCTCTGAGCTCATAGGAGATCAAATCATCCTCGCTGGGCTGTTATGAACAGCTCTGATAGAGTTCTCTTTCTCGATCGCAGATCTTAATGTAGATGCGGCACCATATATAAGTAAACAATGGCATTGAAGAAACCCCTATTCATTCTGCAACTAAAAGTGTATGTTATAGAGAGAAATTAAGAAACTAATAGTCAACTCAAATATTATTTACAAAGCACTTTCAAAACCATTAAAATGGACCAAAGTGCTGTCCATAAGTAATAAATAATTCTAAAATTCATGTAAACATAAAATAACAACAAGACCTAACATCAAGAAAATCATGCAACCAATCCCTCACAATTCTCCGACCTAATCAAATGCCGAAGGCTTGCTAAAATAAGTAGGTATTCAAGTCCTTCTTAAAAATGTCCATGCTTGACGAGGATTTTCTAGAGAATGGTAACACATTCCAGAGTGCAGGAGCCGCAACAGAAAAAGTGCGGTCTCCACTACGCCTCAGCCGAGACCGTGGGACGGTTAGGAGCATATTCTGAGAGGAGCGCAGATATGTCCTTTATATACTCAGAAGCCTGATCGTGCAATGCTTTATAGACAAACATTAAGACCTTGTATTGAATTCTGTATTTTACAGGTAACCAGATAATACTTTTACTTAGCAAGGATATATTAAATTGATCAAAATTGACAGTAAAGATGTCAATTTCAAATAAATATCCTTTTTAACTTTCTATTCATCAAAGAGTCCTAACAAAAATGTATTATGGTTTCCACAAAAATATTAAACAGCACAACCTTTTTCAACATTGATAATAATAATAAGAAATGTTTCTTGAGCAGCAAGTGAGCAATGATTTCCGAAGGCTCATGTGACATTGAAGACTGCAGTAATGGCTGCTGAAAATCAGCTTGCATCACAGGAATAAATTACATTTTAAAATATAAAATAGTCATTTTAAACTGTAATAATATTTTGTACTATATTTTTAATAAATGCAGCTTTAGTGAGCATTTAGTGAGACTTCTTTCCAAAAAAAAAGGTATAAATATGTAAATAAGTAAATATGTATATATATACCTAAAAAGTATATCTTTATAAATTAAAATTAAGATTCCTTTTTAGTTAATTATCATTTTAGTAAATCGAATAAGTACCAATAAAATTAAATTAATTTTGGGGGTGTAAAATATGTCACTGTAAAGTTTATAATTACAAAAAAATTAGGTTTTTAGTTGGAATTTTTTTTAAATACAAATAAATTGTCAATAAAATAGAAAGTGCCTTTATTAGTGTCTCAGCAGGTTTCTTTCTAGTAGAATAAAGGCTACCAATTAAAGGTGCATTTTTATACCATGTATAAAATCTCACTCCAGCCTCACTGAAATAAATGTCCTGAGCAATCAAATGTGTCTCAATCGCAGACCTTGGTTCTGTAAGCAGCTAAAATAAAAGATTCAGAGGAGCAACACACTTTTTTTAGCCAATCAGAACAGCAAGCGTTCAGAAACACTCTCTGGCTGTGAATCATTTGGCGTGTTGGACACAAGCCCATGCGGAGGCCTCTTCACGGTGTTATGAGCCAATTATATTATGGTTAAATCTGGAGTGGTTTCTTTCTACCCACCAGATTTACACTTTCTAAATAACGGAAATCTAGACAAATTACCTGATATATATCAGCAGCACACAGAAAATGAATAATACATCTAAATATCCTAAAACAGCATCACTATTTTGATCTTTAGACAGCTGAAACCCTCTTGCGCTCTCTCTGTAATCTATCTCTCTCTCTGTTTGCAGGGGGCCGACTGTGGCGAGGGAGTAAGTCAGAGGGAAATATCCTGTGTAGTGCACTGGGGTTCTCTTTCAGGTCCTCCTCAGCCCGTTCCAGTAGAGGATAAAATGTGTGTAGGAAATTCACAGAGCAAAGTCAGCGAGACTGAGTTACTGCAGCCCTGCACAATCCCTTGTCCAGGTCTGCATCTCACAAAACACAAAGCTAAATAATTACACGTTAGTGACTTCTTGATAGTGATATTTATCTAAATTAAGGGTTTGTTAGTGATGAATCAGTGCCTTTGATTAATCACATCTATCTTGAGGAGCTCTTTGCAACTGCTCATCGGCTGTAATTTCCGTCTCGCATGTCAGGAGAATGTCATCTAACCAAATGGTCAGCTTGGAGTTTGTGTCAGCTGCTGTGTTTGGATGGGCGGAGTTTTGAGACATGGGGTCGACAGGCTCGTTCTAGAGCCATAGTCACACAGGTCCCGGAGAACCAGGACACCTGTCCCAGCCAGATGTACGAGACACGGCCATGCCGAGGTTTGTGGGAAGCCATACAGAAGAAAAACACCAAGCAGTCTGATTGAGGTTTTTTTTTTAATATTAGAATGATTTCTGAAGAATCATGTGGCACTGAAAACTGGAGTAATGGCTGCTAAAAAAAATCAGCTTTGCCATCACAGGAATAAATTACATTTGAAAGCATATTCAAATAAAAAATATATATTTTTAACTGTAATAATATTTCACAATATTAGGTTTTTACTGTACAAATAAACAGTAAAGTGCATTTTTAGGTGAAAATTAAGTCAGATTTTTAGGTGAAATAAAGTAAAATTTAAGGTTACAATTGATTTATTTAGTTATTTTTGTCATAAGCTAGGTATTTTCAACACATTGATTCAAAGATATTGATAAAGTACCAGTCCTCCACATTTAAAAGAACACAGGAAGTGTTGTTCAGCCACTAAACCAGAAAAGCACTGTAGTGTGTTTTTGTCTGTTCTTCCAGGAGGAACATGTCTTAGTTATGAATGGATGACTGGTGAATGGAGGCATAACCGGAGACTGGTGTGGTGCCAGCGCTCTGATGGAGTCAATGTCACAGGTGAGCACTATTGCATTAAGAATGCATTCATTTAGAAATCAACTTAATTATTATCTTATTATATTATTTCATAGCTTTTTAGGCATGGAAAGGACCAATTTTAATTTTGTTTCTCTACATTAGGAGGCTGCATTGCTCAGAACCAGCCCTCTGCCATAAGACAGTGTCACCCTCCCTGCACCAAACCCTTCTCCTTCTGCACACAGGTGACACCCAGAACACTGTGGACGCACAATCTTATTCATTCATCCAAAATGTGTTTTTTTTTTGTTTGTTTGTTTTTTAATTGTGACATGTTTTTTTATGAAAATTCAGCACATTTTCCTCTCCTTCCTCCCAATATTGTTATTTTTAACTAAAACTAAAGCAATTAAATATAATTGTCATAATTGAAATCATGCTGAAATAAAATATATGTATGAAATGGAAAAAAAAGTTGCCTTGGCAACTAACTGAAATAAGGTCAAGTTGAAGTACTAAAATTACTCAAATTAATTAAAGCTATATAGAAATATCTGCAACCCCCCCCCCCCCCTCCCCCCCCCGCCCCACCCATACACAACCAACAATAAAAAAAAACACAAA